GTAGTCCAAAACATAACTTTTACAAATTCTGCTTCTGCACTCCTTTTGGTATCCTTCTGATGCAGCCATATGATTTCTAACTACAGACAAGAGTCATAGGTGACAACATTATTTGGAAAAGTTGGTGAAACTTCTGTCTAGCGGGCATCACACCAGATTCCATGCTGGCCGCTCAACAGGCAAAATTGAGGGCTTGGATCCTGCCAGTTGGGAGGAATATTGTGTGCTTTGGCACATCATGTCCAGGTGCAATGGTGCAAGACTGGGGCAGAATGATGCTGGAAATCAGCTCTCATATATGTACATCATGAAGCTTGTAAAATTCCTTGTGTAGGTCTTGTTCAAGATTCTGCGTCAAAGGAAAACTTGTTGGAAAGCATTCGGATCCTTCAGTCCTGAAATAAGTTTGTAGAAAAGTCAAAGTAGGTGTGATTGTGGCATTATTTCTCACTGGGGCAAACCATTGGACTGTACGTGTGATGAAGAATTTTATACCATCAGTTTTAATTTAGAAAACATCTTGGGACTTCATACATTTTGTATATTATGTTGAAGAATGTAAAAATCAGTTGGTGAGTGTGTCAACTGAAAAATGCAAAGCACAAAGCTGATTGGCTAAGCTATGACTGAGAAGCTATCTGAGCCTGGGAGTTTTGGCAACAGTTACATGTTTAGGTTTTTTGTGCAGGAGCTTACCAAGACAGTTTGTATTTTTTGCTTCTGGGCTGCTGGAAGAAGATGCTTCACATGGACACCTAAGGACCATTTGAATTGACATTGTGTGAGTCAATGCAACTGTTCACATGACTGTATATATATTGCTCTGTATAACAAAGAGTAAACACCTTCTTTTTACTGATTATCTGCGTGGCATATCTTTTCTCTAGCAAGACAGTGTGTGGATTGGTAAATGTGAACTATGCGTGATTTTCATTCCACCACATGTTAGTGTCTCCGTCCCTTATTTTTCAGATGACACACAGAAATGTTGCTTGGAGACAGTAAAATAGTGCAATTATTTCATCTTCCACAGTTCTGTTAGTGGATTCTTTCTCCCTGCAAAACCCAAGCAATGAAATACAACATCTGAAGAAACCCTCACAGGTCCTTGAGGGGAGTCCTTTGATGCCTGCAATTGAGCTGAAGAAAGAAAGGAGGAAAACTTTGCTCCATTTTTCTTGTTTGACAGTTCATATCTCTGGGGCAAATCAGCTGCATGCATCTGAAGAATGTGCAAATGTAGGAGAAGATAAACCAGATAAAAAGGAGCCCTGAGCCAGAGAAGAATGGGCGCATTGTGCTGCCACTTAAGAAATGTTTTAAGTGCCGTTTTATAAAACTCTTCTCTCACTGAAGTCTCCTCCTCCAGATAACCTGGAATGATTTGAAGCCATTCATATAGGCTGAGTACAAAGCTATGCACCTGTGAAACCCTGTTAAAAAACAAAGACCTCTTTTGTTTTCCGGTGTGGCAATTCAACACCTGAGGGTGAAGAGAAGGCAGAGATGTCAGAGGACCTTGACAGCATTGCATGTTCCAGCAAACAAAAGCATGCCTTTCAGCACTGCCCTGTGTCCTGCTGGTGGAGGAAGAGGATGAAAGAGGCACACAGCTTCCAAATTGCATTGCAGGATGGCACGTAATTAGAATATACTGTGTATACTCACATATAAGTACACTTGATGTATAATTCAAGTTTTGGTTTCGGGGCCAAAATTATGGATTTCTATATGACCCATGAATAAATAGAGGGTCATTCCCCAAAGAGGAGAAAACCCCGATACCACCTTTGCTTCAACATTTCCACCCCATCCCAAGATATGCTCACTGCATGAACTGAATTTCCAAGTAAAAACTGTGTTCTCATTGTCTATTTTTTATAACTGCCAGGTGGGGGAACGTGCCAACTCTCCCCAGTCAAAGATGCTTTGTTGTTGCAAACCACACGGAGATCACTTTTTATTGCTAGAGTTTGCCAGGACACACATCATATGTTCAAAGTCTAACTTCAAAACATTTAGAAATAAAGCTATCCTCTATTTTCCTTCTGCCTCTTTATTAACTTCAATTATTACTGTGCAATAAAATGCTTGGACCGATGCTGAACAAAGAGAGCATATATACCCTGCAATTAGATAGTGTAAAAAATCAATTTTGATGCTCAAATTACTCCATAAGCCACTAAAAGTTGTGAGTGAGCAAGCAAGCAGACAAAGAAAATACGGTAACAACCAGAGAATAGAACATAATTCAGTTCATTATCCTCTTTTTTTGCCTCCACAGATGCCCACATTTCCAAAATGTAGCATAATAGGTTAACAGATACATTTACTGAGAAAAAATCTTGGGATACAAAGAATCTTTGTCCAGGAAACACAAAAGTAGTTATACTGCAGAGAACACATGTTACTTTGGACTGAATTAACTATTTCTTGTGTCGATGCAAACTCGCCAAATAAAGACACTAAAACTGAACATGTTCTACAATTTTCTTCCATACAGAAATAAATAACAAAGACAAGAAGGTTAAAGAGAATTAAAGAAGAAAACATCACTGCCAACAGTAGGTTGCAAAACAACAGTAGCTACACTGGTTAGCAGGGCCTCCTGTTCACAGTTTCATTTGCAAGTTTCTGAAGCAGTCACAGTACACAATTTATCGGTGCAAGGTATTTTATTTTATTGAAGGCTAGCTTGGGTACCCGGCGTTGCCTGGGTTATTAGAAGAAGTCATTTCTTTATTTTACAAAATGCATAAGGTTGTAGGTGAACTACAACTCACACCATGCCAGGTCAACCCCATCAAAAGTTTGTCATGTTGGGAAAGTTTGCTCTCTGCATGTATCATAGGTGGAATTCAGTCTGCTCTCCAGCTGCAGGATGAATTACAACTCCCACCATGGTGGGTCAGTCCTGTCAAATCCCTCCTGTACATTCAGTTGGTCATGGGGATTCTCTCTGCCAAGTTAGGTCCAGGTCCATCATTGGTGGGGTTCAGAGTGTACTATACATCCCCGTGCCTACAACTCCCAAATGTTGAGGCCAATTCCACCCCAAATCCACCAGCATTCAAATTTGGGCATATTAGTATGCATGCCAAATTAGGTGCAGATCCATTGTTGTTTGCGTTCATAATGCACTCTGGGTGTAGGTGAACTATAATTCCTATTCCCCTAAAGCAGTGGTTCTCAACCTGTGGGTACCCAGGTGTTTTGGCCTACAACTCCCAGAAATCCCAGCCAGTTTACCAGCTGTTAGGATTTATGGGAGCTGAAGGCCAAAACATCTGGGACCCACAGGCTGAGAACCACTGGTCTAGATTCACCCAAAATCATTAAACAAATCTTTAATCCAAAATACGTATGCCCTGGCTGACAAATATGATATTGAGATAAGGAGTCTGTTGGATTGCACCGAGTGAACTATACCATCAACAGTATCTAAATGGCTAGTAAATCAAGTGGGATCATTCCCCCAACCACGCTCGTCGAATAAGATATCCTTTATTAAAGCAGCCCGTAGCCAGGATTTCGTTCGTTCGGGGGGGGGGTGAATTTTTTTCAGGGGGGGTTTCGGAGGGGGCTGAGTTTCGGGGGGGCTGAGTCTGAGTGAAAGAGGGTCTAGCCTAGCAAACCTTTTGTATCATTACCCCAATACCCCCATGCATATGGGATATATTGAGTATGGTGATCAGATCATGATATGAATAATCATAACAGTTTAAATAATGCACCAGTAAGGCCTTTTCGCGAACCACCATGAGAATTTCGGGGGGGGGGGGGGCTGAAGCCCCTCAAGCCCCCCCCTGGCTACATGCCTGGTCATGGGGGTTCCAAATGTGGTCCAGGTCCATGGTCAGTGGGAGTCACAGTGCTCCAACTTGATGCAAGGTGAACTATAACTTTCATCATGTGCAGTCAGTCCTCCAAAATACTCCAGTATGTTCAGCTGCTGCTCTGTTTGTTATGTAGACAGAGTTGAAAAGAGTAGGTAAGGCTTAAGGGAGAGGCAGTGGGCAAGGGCATGCAAATTCCACACAAGGAACCCAGGGATGCCTGCCTGTGGTGGAGGAAACACATCAAATATAGAATGGAATGGTCCTGTAATTAAAGCATTCCTTGGGTGGTTAGTGTTTGGGGAGGACTTTTATTATGTGTATAGAGTAACCTCAGATTTCTTGAAGAATTCACGAATTCCCTTAATCTGCCCCATTGTTTCAGCCTCCTCAATGGATTTGGGATAAAAAAGCTGCCCTAAAATACACTCAAGGATGTGTGGAGAGAACTTCCATTGCAGGGAGAGGGCTCCGGGTATTTTAGGTTCAGATGAGATACCAATCTTGAAAGAATGGCATTGACCAGTACCTCAGTTTATATCCATGTCGATGATGTGAATGCAAATTTTCAAACAGATGTTTGAAGTACACAGTGTGTTTCCTGTTCAGAGAAAGTGATCCTATCCAATTTTCAGGAATATAATCTCTCCTTTCAAAATTAACCCCAACCCTTTGTGCAATTTTTTCCCCCAGGATGACAAAAGGAGAATCATGGGGAACAGGGGGTGAAAGCTGGATCGTCATTGCCACATAATGCAGCTTGAACTGAAATAATGCATCAGACTATACCAGGCATGGGCAAACTTGGGCCCTCCGGGTGTTTTGGACTCCAACTCCACCATTCCTAAAGGCCTCAGGCCTTTTCCTTTTCCCCCTCAGCTACTGTTAGGAGGCTGTTAGGAATGGTGGGCGTTGAAGTCCAAAACACCTGGAGGGCCCATGTATGCCCATGCCTGAACTATACTGACCATATGATGCAGTTATGGGCAATATCAATCCAGTCATAATTTGCTTTCACCAGCCCAATTGCTCAAACTTGATTCTGGATTTAGCACATATTGTTCTCTGGTATTAAAATCATTCTACGAATACAACTGAGAACTACATTGTCCTGACATTTTTCTAAAATATTTTTTTTTAACTATAATTATTGAAGCGGCTTACCGGAGACTCTAGCTTCGGAAGCTGATTAAACCGAACACTTGAATCCACTATCGGAGCGTCTTGCTTTCCCAGAGCTTTTGCCAATTCACCCCAGCTTTCATACGCTGCACAGAAAAAAGACAATGATATCAAAATAAAACCACAGTTAATTTTTTTTTTTTACAGAAATGTCAAATACATTTGAATTTCTTAACTATCAATGCTGTGCTCTTGGCAAGTTGCTGTCAGTATTTTAAAGATGCCAGGCTACAAATGCAGAAAGACAGTATGGTACAGTGGTTTGAGCATTAGACTATGACTCTGGAGGAAGTCACTCTTTCACAGCCTCAGAGGGGAAAGGAAAATCCCCTCTAAACAAACCTTGCCAATAAAACCCTGTGACAGGTTTGTCCAAGTCACCATAACTCAGAAATGACTTGAAGGGACACAGCAGCATCAGCACCAGCAACAACAAGAATGTAAATATAAAAGTAAAACAAAGCATAAACCAATCCTATGATTTCTATGTATGTTTACTTGCTACTCAGTCTCAATGGGGCACAGAAATGGCTAAGATACCATTTTGTAGACCATCCTTTCTAACCATCAATGAGTCGTTCTAAGAACTGAGCCCAGAAAACTATAATATGGCGAGCTTTAGTTTTTAAAGTAATAATGCACTACTCTTTTCTTCCACTAGTAACCTGTAAGATCTGCCTGGAAGGCCCTCCTCTCGCTCCCACTATCGTCATAAGCATAGCAAGTGGGGACAAGGGAGAGGGTCTTCTCGGTGGTGGCCCCTCGACTTTGGAACACCTCTCCAGGGAGATTAGGCAAACCTCTACACCATTCTCCTTTTGCAGGGATCTGAAAACCTGGATGTTATAATAAGCATCAGAGAATGACTAGTCCCTACTTATAAGTGCCCAGTGAGCCACGTTGGCACAATGGGTTAAACCCTTGTGTCAGCAGGACTGCTGACCTGAAGGTTGGTGGTTCGAATCCGTGAGACGGAGTGTGCTCCCATGCCATGATCTCTAGTTAATGCCATACACAAAACACATGGCCATGGGTCATTGAGCATAAAAGGGAATGCAGGACAAATGGACCTACCATAAAACTCAATTGCCCAAAGGTGGGGGAGAACCAAGCTCTGGAATGGGAAAGGGGAAACCTCCAGGCGCCAGGATTCCTGAGTGAGTCATTTATGATATTGTAGTTAGGACTATATAGGAGGCCAGTAGTTGAGGCTCTTGTATTCCGAACAATAAACACGTTGATATCTACTCCACTTGTGATTCTCTGGTTGATCCTTCATAAGACATTTTTCCAGAGCTACACATCTTGGAACAGAGATATCTGATATTCCGTCTGTCAGCGCCAGCTTCCCATTCGGAGACATGAGAAAAGCCTCCCACAGGATGGTAAAACATCCGGGCAACCCCTGGGCAACGTCCTTGCAGATGGCCAATTCTCTCACACCAGAAGCAACTTGCAGTTTCTCAAGTTGCTTCTGGCACAGAATGTACAGAATAACCTGCTCCACACTGGATTCCAAGGAGGAATTAAAATCACTCCCCATTGAAGGAAAATTGCTCATTATTTCTTCCCAAGTCACTCTTGACATGAAAAAAACTGTCCAGTCTCTAGCTTGTCAGGTAGTACTCTCTTCTCTGCACTTCTGCCAATCCCCCGGCCCTGTACTATGCTGTTTTGCACAGCCTTTTAATGCCCATCTTCATATTCTGGTTATTGGTGTTTTGTTGTGTATTGTTTGCGTGAGTTTTAATGCAGCTGTTTTACACCTTTATCTTTTTGTAATTGTGTTTTTCTGATTGTTATGCCTTGCTATGTTTTATTTTAATTGTGTTTTTTTTGTTTTTAATGGATTGTTTTGCTTTGATGTTCGGTAGACATGTGTAAGCTGCCCTGAGTCCCTTCGGGGAGATAGAGGTGGGGTATAAAAATAAAGTTGTTGTTATTATTATTATTATTTGAAACACAACAAGATAAGTTCACAGCAGACACGTCAGACACTTCCCAAGTGTCTAGGACTGTATGATGTATTGGCGAATAATGCATGCAGATTCCAGTAAGGTGGCCTTCTGCAGCTGGCGGATGGCAATTTTGTCAGCGTCGATTGTGTTTAAGTGCAGGCCAAGGTCTTTAGGCACTGTACCCAGTGTGCTGATCACCACTGTGACTCTGGCACAAGCCAGTCAAAGTGGTCCCAGTTATTGTTGTTGCTGTTGTTATTATTTGAAACACAACAAGATGAATTCACAGTGGACACGTCGGACATTTTCCCAAGTGTCTAGGACTGTGTGATGTATCGGCGAATAATGCGTGCAGATTCCAGTAAGGTAGCGTCGATTGTGTTTAAGTGCAGGCCAAAGTCTTTAGGCACTGCACTCAGTGTGCCGATCACCACTGGGACTCTGGAACAAGCCAGTCAAGGTGGTCCCAGTTATTATTATTATTATTATTATTATTATTATTATTATTATTATTATTATGCCATGGCACTTTGTTTTACTTCAGGTTCAGGAAAAGATATTGCTAGGAAGGACTGGTGAGAAAAAACAAAGATTGAGAAAAGTCACAATGTATTGTCGAAGGCTTTCATGGCCGGAATCACTGGGTTGTTGTAGGTTTTTTCGGGCTATATGGCCATGTTCTAGAGGCATTCTCTCCTGACGTTTCGCCTGCATCTATGGCAAGCATCCTCAGAGGTAGTGAGGTCACAATATTTCTCTCTAAGTAAGATCCTCATGTATAAAGACATATCGTTTACAGTAACCAAAGTATATTCCATAGTAATTTGATTTTCTATGTATGTGTATAAAAGCTGGAAATTGAAAAAGCTGGAAAAAGATAAACCTATTTGAAATGTGCTATAGGAGAGTTCTGCTGATACAATGGGCTGCCAAAAAAGACAAACGGAAGACTCTGTTGCCCAGACTTTATGAATACTATCCTTGGACTTCATCAGGTATATCAAGCTCTTATTCATTTATTTCTCATCATATAGGGATTCAGAGCGTATGCCTTAGCACCATTTCCGGTCAGATCTTTATTAGACTTTCATATTGGCGTTTGGGTTAAACATTAAACTCCCCCACCCTCCCCAGTTTTAAACTCTAATACGATCACCTAGGTATTATAACTTTATTGCCACCACTTTAAGAAGATTACCAGGATGATATCAAATGAGAAGGGCTAAATCAAGAAAATCTCCTGCCAAACTTCTTAGGACAAATACAAACAGAAAAACATATGTTTGCTTTTGATCTTACTACAAATGCTGCACCCTTTTTCTTACGTGGTTGTAAAGCTGGATAGAGAAGAACAACATTGACAGGAAAAATATGGTGCTGGAGGAGGTTTTAAAGAAACAGTGGGCTACCAAAAAAAAAAAAAGACAAATAAACAGGTCAGAAATACCAGAATAATGCAGATGTAGGTTCTTGTGGGTTTTTTTCGGGCTATAGGGCCATGTTCTAGAGGCATTTCTCCTGACGTTTCGCCTGCATCTATGGCAAGCATCCTCAGAGGTAGTGAGGTCTGTTGGAACTAGGAAAAAGGGTTTATATATCTGTGGACACATGGTGACTTTTAACAAATCCCTACACTTCAGGGAGCAGAAATAATAAAATCTGAATCTTTGAGACCCATTGAGAAGCATTGCATGCATTTCCAAAACCCAATTTTATGCAACAGTTTCTGATCCACAGATCTACATTGATATTTCCTGCACTATTTCCTAAAATACCTTCAGAAACTATTTTCCCCAAAGCGGTTGAACTGCTGAGCTTCTCTTACGCCTCTGGTTCTATGACTGTTTCCTAAGGATAGACTAATTAAGGGCTTACACAGCCAATTTAAATAAGTCTACAGTACTTTTATTCCCCCTAGAAATGTGTACAGTCCTGACTGAGTGGCAATAATTTCATATTCTATCCATGTAAAATAGGACACTGCTGTAATGGAGGTAGTTTCCACAATTTCCTTATCCTACACTAACACAGAAGAAATGCACAAACCAGAAAAATACATCCTGCATTTCAGAAATAAATGGTTCAGTAAATAATATTCCTTCAGGAATATTGTGTGAATATGTGGCAAGCATTCCTAGTATTGCCAATGTTTTTCATTTTGACAAAATCTTTGTTCTTCATTAGCTGAATAGTCAAAGAATAAACATGTTTATAAAAATGACACTGATAGCAATCAATGCTCAATGGCACTGGTGCTATCCAAATAGAGCTTGTGAATGTGCTGTCTCTCTCCTAATAAGCATGTGTAGATCAGTTGTGTAGCTATGTCTCAAAAGAAATGGAAATTCAATGGCTGGGTGTTAAAAGGAAAAAAAGAGAGAGATCCCAAGGGGAAAGTTACTGGCATGTGACACTGGGGAAAATCAATATACTTACTATAAAAAGAGGATCCTGAGAAAATAACCTTCTGCAACATGTGTAACTTCTCTGCTATTATTATTAATCTCTGTAGCCCTTGAAGACTAAATCTAATTACGAGTCCAAATAGAAAAAAAACTCGCTGTATCAATGGCTAAATAAGTCAACATGCTTGAAAATAAATAAATAATAAATCCCACCAACTCAATGGGTATTTTCTGGAACCAGCAATTGGATTTTGACCTTTGTCTGATAAGAGCTGTTAGTACTCAACACTAAATCCACTCCTCGTGCCAATTATCACGAAAAAAAATCCTTTCCAATAGGGCTTTGTGACATCATAATAATAATAATAATAATAATAATAATAATAATAATGCCACAAGCCAGTAAAGGTGGTCCCCTTGGTGATTGGCACACTGGATTCAGTGCCTGAAGACCTTGGCCTGCACGTAAACACAATTGATGCTGACAAAATTACCATCTGTCAGCTGCAAAAGGCCACCCTACTGGGATCTGCACACATTATTCAGTGATACATCACATAGTCCTAGACACTTGGGAAGTGTCCGAGGTTGTGATCCAATACAACAGCCAGCATAGTGATCTTGTTTGCTGTGTACTAATCTTGTTGTGTTTCTAATAATAATAATAATAATAATAACAACAACAACAACAACAACAACAACAATGCCAAACTTCTCTGGGAC